GTGTGCATTTTCAATAAATGCAAAACAAGACACAAACCTCCTCTATTTCATGAATGATCAAGGGAAGTGGTGACCTTGGAATCTTGAATCATTTCATCACTAATTAGTATGAAATGGTTCAAGTTTTCATGTGTTCAATTAACATTCGATTGAATACAACCAATTATTATCTTGTACCATTTTTAGTCCTAATTTTAGTTACTCATTTTAGCTAACCAATGTCCTTTAATTCAATCAAGTCCAAGGGTGAGTTAAGTCCTCTAAATGAAAAGAAGACTCAAACTAAAAGTTGTTGTAGGCATGAAAGAGACATCATACCGTTAGTAATGAACCCCTTAAGTGATTAAACCATTAAGCATGACATCTCAATCTCATGCTTTAAACAAACAAATAGTTTGAACCACTTTCAAAGCAAAATAAAAATCTAAGAAATGAGGGAGGTTGTAGAGATGATTAAGTACTGAAAATGAGTGAGAAAAACATAATAAATGCTATCAATTCAAACAAGATGGTGTCTAAGGCCTAGAACACCAAACTCATGAGGACTGTTACACTATAAGCATGCAAAGCAAAGCTTAAATGTAAACAACGACGCAAAATAGAGCGAAAACAGGTCTAATACAGTCCTAAAACATGCTGGAATTGAGCAAAAAAAGGCTAGATTAAAATGCTAAAACATGGCACCAAATAGACTAGTAAGCACGACACAATAAGGGGAGGCTATCCCCTCCAAATTTGAATGTCAAAACATGATTTTGACCACTGAAAAAAATCTAAAAATCAGTGTTTAAAAGCTTGGAAAAAGATAGTAAAATGGTGGAAACACAAGGGCAAAGGCCTCCAAAACAAGGTATAAAGAAGGACTATCAACCCCTCAATCTTTAATGGCTTTAAACCCAAGCTTCGGCCCAAAAAACACAGAGTTTTTACAGCCCAAAACAAAGGAAAAACGGTAGGAATAATAGCAAATAAAACAAGGTTACAAGCAAAGTCTTATACCTCTTGAAGAGAAGAAGCAATTCCAAGCAACAAAACCAAGTAAACACACCCTCTAAAGCTCAAATAAGCTCAAAAGTACCTTAGCTCAAAGATGAGAAGATTTGGTTAAGGGTGTATTGGCAAAGGTTGAAGATTTGTAAGCAAAAGTGTAGAGATTTGGTAAAGAGAGAGAGAGAGAGAGAGAGAGAGAGAGAGAGAGAATTGTATAGAGAGAGGAAAATTTTTGATTTCAAAATTTTCTAACCTTAAAACATGAGAGAGGGGCCTCCTATGTATAGAAAACATGAAATTCTCTCAAGGAGATCCAGCCCTACACGTGGGGATAAATGCATGTATCTGTGCAAATAGTTGGCACAACTAGTATAAAATATCTGCAAAATACACTGGTGGCCGGCCGGCCGGCCATCATTGGTAGTTGGCAAGCCACATCAGTGGCCGACAACCCAAAGTGGTGGCCGGTAGCCTCTAAAAGTGGCCGGCAGGCCACCAAAAGCTACAAGCTTGAAGAACACAGGCTTGGTCCAAAACTGGGACAACAAAGATATAGGGTTTGAAAGGCTCAAAGTTGTGGCATTCTGTTGAGGATTTCGAGCACTTGGCGAGCAAATACATTCATCATCAGGTGCGTATGCGAGGACGTCCAAGTCGTAAGGACTGTCAAAAATGGGGTGTCTACAGTTGCCATTCTTTGACAGAACTCGGAGTCATGAAATGACGTGAATGAATGTCAAAACCCAAAGACAACCCATTTTGACAAGGCCGTAAGACTTGGATAAACATCAAGACAGAAATAAATGGTTGCGCCCGCAGGCTGTCTACGTATCCTTTTGCAAAGAATCAAACCAGCGTAGTTCTAGGAAAAGGTGCAAATGATATGCAAAAGCAATTTTGAAAATTGGACTCACATGCTACGCGAAGCCGGCTACTTTGAAAACTTATGATCATGTAAGATGATGCAATAAGCAACAACAAATGCGATAAGCAAGAATGAATACAATAAGTAAGATAACAATACATGAATGAACAATTAGCTTAAAACCAACACAGGTTTCAAGCAAAACGAAAATAAGCACATGTTTAACCACACCAAAACACAGGATGAGGAAAGAAAACACCACTCAGGATTGCGTTTACGCATCCTAAGAATTGAGAACAAAACTACTCGGGGTCGTGTTTCACACGTCTCGAGATACTAGAGAATGAAAACTGCTCAGGGTCACGTTTTACGTGTCCCGAGAAACAAAGAAAACCGCTCGAGGTTGCGCTTTGTGCATCCAGAGATGAAACCGCTCGGGCGCGTGCTTTGCATGTCCCTAGATGAAACTCGCCCAGGGTCGTTCGTCACGCGTCCTGAGATAAAACTGCTCGGGCGCATGCTTCGCATTTCCCAAGATGGAAGAGAACTGCTCGGGGTCGTGCTTCGCACGTTCCCGAGGTAAAATCGACCCAGGGCCGCATTTCACGCGTCCTGAGAAACAAAAATCGCTCAAGCGCGTACTTCGCATGTTTTGAGATGAAACCCGCCTAGGGCTGCGTTTCACTCGTTCTGAGAAAAAAAATGCTCGAGCACGTATTTTACACGTTCCCGAGAAACACGAGAGTATTGTGAGATAGATGCACGAAGGTAAACAAGTGCGATAGATGCATAAAATGAACAAGTACGATAGATGCACAAAATGAACAAGTACGATAGATACACAAAATAAACGAGCGCGATAGATGCACAAATGAACAAGTGCGAGTTCTCCTACCAAGATAAAAATGACTCAGCCAGAACTCCTTTGAATGAACCGTACATACAATATCGTTTGCTGGTTTAGTATGTGATACAGTGACAATGCATGTTCTATATGAGATAAACAACCGAGATACAAGGTTAATTGAAGGCATGTTCCATGCGTTAAACGAGATGCATATTCTATGTGTGAAAAAAGAACGAAAGCATATTCTATGTGAGTCTCATAACTGATGCAAGATACGCGTGCAATATATATATAAAGTGAAATGCATATTCTAAGTAACAACGTGAAGTGCATATTCTATGCAACAAAGTGAAATGCCTATTCTATGAAAGGAGCAAAGTGAAATGCATATTCTATGCAAAGAACAAAAGTGTAATTTGACAAAAACTAATTTCAGTAGCAACTTTCGATTTACCTCTTAGAAGAGTTACAATATATTTAAAAAGGATACACCTTGTTTCTGTATGAAAAGTGACGAACATCGTACGCCAAAACATTGTTTTGAGCTTCCACAGAGACAATTTGAACGCAATTGCGAACCTTTCCTACACTTCTTAGGAAATAAAGACACAAAGCAGCATCAAAACACAAAATAAGGCCACTGGCAATTGGCCGGCCACAGGGGGAGGTTGCCGGCCACTTGCCAGCTATGGAAGAGCCTTGCCGGCCACGAAAGAGCTTTGTTGGCCACCTGCCCGCCAACGATGGCTGCTAGGGGGCAAACTTGACTTTTTGGCTTGGGTCTTTAAGTATACAACACAACACTTCATTTCCTCACTTCTCTAGGGCCGATGTAGACACCCCATTTTGACCGGGCCTAAGACTTGGGCGTTTTCTTTTGATCACCCGATGATGAAACTTGTAATATGCTATTTTATGAATTTCTTAGCAGAAAAATCAGATTAAAACTTTAATCCCAAACCTCACCCATTTTGACCAAATTATTTTATATCACTCAAATCTTTTTTATTGTTTTATTAATTTGTAGTATTTTATAATTTTATGTGTTTGTACATATTTTTAGATGTTTTTATATAAATTTGTATAAATAATATATTTTTGATATTTTATAAATAGAAAATAATAAAAAAAAGAAAAGAAAATAATAATAATAATAATAATAAAAAAGGGATTGAATTCAATTTATTTATATATATATATATACAGGTTAGAATATTTGGTCAGGATGGGTTTGGTATTATGATTAGTTTGTGAGTGGAGCATAATAAGAAGATGAGAAGAGAGGGTTAGAGGAATGATAATGTTTTTAGAGTGGAGATAGAGATAAGATATTTGTGAGGATGTGTGGGGTGTTGGAATAGGTGGTAGAGAGATTATAATGAGTGAGTGCAGAGTAGGTGTTAAAGTGTGTTCGGTTAAAGAGAGAGTGGGTGGTGTATTATTTTAAAGGAGACAATTTGAAATTAAAAAAAGAAAAGGAGAGGGAGATAGAGACGTTGAATTTGGTGGGAGTGGGGTTCAAAAGTAGGTAGAGATTATTGAAAAGAGAGGAGAGCAGATGAGAAGGTAGAGAATATTGAAAAGTGAGGAGAGTAGGTGAGAGGGTGAAAAGGATAATACACAGAGGACACACAACATATAAACTCTGGGTCTCTCTGGTTTTAGGTGGACTGTCTCGTTTGGCAAGTTAACATATTAGCAAAAAAGGCAAAAAGTTACTAAAAAAGTCAAAAAACTATAACCTATACCAAAAAGTCAAAGATTCCCTTTTCTCTTTACTTTTTGCACATCTTTTCGTAAAAAGTCAAAAAGTCACCCCAAACATACTTGTTTTTTTTACCTCATATTTTAGCCAAAAAGTCAAAAACACTACAGGAAATTAAAGTTTTGGCGGCGTTTCAAAAACGCCGCCAAAAGCCTCAAAAATGCCACCAAATGCTACAGAGATGTTTAATATTTTCGTCGCTGATACGGCCGCCGCAATAGCTTTGCAACGTTTGAAAAACGTCGCTAAAAATATTAGACGGCGTTTTTTAAAACGTCGCAAAATCTTTGACATTGTTAGAACTTCCGTTAGTAACAGATGACGTCACAATGATGTAAAAAACGCCACTTTTTTATTTATTTTTATTTATTTATTTATTTTTGGGTGTGTGTTATCATATAAAACTGAAAAAATAGACCAACTCAATTCCCATCAGTTGCTTTTTGCAACAACACATACCAATGAAGCAAAGATGACATACTATTCAATCCAAAGTACCAATAAAAATTAACAGCTTTAAGCATCAATAAAAATTAACAGCTTTAAGCATCAATACAAATTAACAGCTTTAAGCATCAATACAAATTAACAACTAGTAGCAAATCTAACAACAATACACAATACTCTAAATAGCAATTCACTACATCAAGCAGTTCCAAAAGCTGCTTCTCACAACTGGTCACATCAACCCAAACTTCCACCTGAGTTGTCGGCTTGTCTCCAAGGTGTTCAGAATTTGCAAGTGTATGCCGATTAGAACCAATATTGACATCTAAGATTTCATTTCACTGCATCACATTGATTAATCAAATGCACAGAAATCTCCAGCTTAAAATCTTACTGTATGTTAACCCCAAAAATAATGAAATCACAGATTTCAACAATGTATTTCATAACTATAAATTACATTAAGTGAAATGTTACACCATGTCTTTTGATTCTAAATATGATGTAGAACATGTGGTGTCAGTTAGTTTAGGCATCCAGTCAAAGTTGCAAATTTGGGCCAGAACCACCCATGTTCGATCTGAAACAGCCCATCAACAAAAATTCACTGCTTCACCGTGACCTAAGCCACCAAAGTCTCTCATTTTGGCTCCCAAATTCACATTTGTTCCCCTTTCTAGAAAGTTTTAATTTAGTTATGACTTAATTTAGGAGTTTTCATTTTTTTTTTGGACACTTTTCTTATACTTTATAGTATCTCAGTTTGAATCTAATAGAAATTTGCAATTGTTGGTACTTTTGTTCATTATTCTATGTCTTGTTAGGAATAGGATTATTATTTTATATCAAGGTGTAGACACCCCATTTTTTGACCGTCCTCGGGACTTGGTTGTGCTTGCAGGTACACCCAACAACTAGTTCAACTGCTCGCCGAGTACTCGACTGTCGTGGCGGAACGTCACCGGTTCGAGCTTCCTGGACCTTGTATCCTTTCTGTCCCATTTTTGGACCTTGGCTAGGTCCTTTCAAAATGACCCTTTTGGTGCACTGCCGGCCATGGCATGGAACTGCCGGCCATTGCTTTGCTCCTGCTGGCCATTGGTGATGCCCTGCCGCCATTAGTGAGCCACTGCCGGCCATTGATGATGGCCGGCACCCCCCCTGTCTCAGCTGGTTTTCCTCCAGATCTTTTGAGCTAGCTGGTTTTTTGTTTGCTCCTCTCCATACACGTGTATGAAGGGATGAAGCCCTTGTAAAGCTTCTTGAAGAAGCTTTGGCTTTGCATTCCTCTATATAAGTGTAACAAGCCCGCGGGGGACCTCGCTACAGCTCGGACTCGATTTGTGTCACGGTTCTAAATCTGAACCAAAGAGTCCAAATCCGGCAAATCGTTTTGAGAAAACAGATTTTTGAAAGAAGTGCCAAACATGGACTGCTTTGCCAGATATAGAGTCGCCACCTAAATTATTTTTAAAATGGTGGAAATTTAGGAAACCCTGACTCGGTGCGAAGGCCACATGTCCGTCATCACCGGAGTTGTTCTCGGCTCGGGAGCTTAGGTACGATCGGGGAAGGTCAGCTATGAGCACCCCCTTTCGCCCGGTCCGAAGACCGGCCTCTACTAACCGTGATATTCTGTTTTGAAAACGTTTATGTGTTCTTATTCGGTTATTGCCTAGAATTACATATCATGCGCGCAGCAAACAAGTATAGACTAGATTGTCTAATTTGGGAATAAACATGTATATCCGTTTGCCTTTGGTAAAATACTTTGGATTTTTGCTAACTCGCAAGTAGGCTAAAACACGGATTTCAATGATTTTTCCAACTCAGACAATCCAACCTTCACCCACAGGCATTCAAACAGTTTAACACATAAGCATTTAGCCGCATGGCAAGCATACTGTCATGTTAACATTCACACACATGCGAGATGCTAAGACTAAATATTTACATCGTACTCCGTGCCAAAACAGTAAACTAGTTAGCAAACATGCGTGTCCTAGTTCATGTTAAATTGCCTAATGCAACACATACAGGATGCAATTAGATAGGCTCGCAATCTAAGCATGGCATATGAAATCGATCAACTATCACATATTCAATTTTTTGAATTGAAGTACAAATGCAGTTAGCGTGATGTACCAAGCCTAATATGATGCAGTACAAATGCATGAATGCACGCATGCATAGCATAAGGTATGCTAAATTGAACATGCCCTAATCTACCATCATAAGCAGGTAAATAAAAGGGAAGAAAGACGTGAGGTTGGAAGACATACACACACTCACGCACACTTATTACAGATTTGCCCTCACTCGAGGGCCCAAATAAATATTACAGTCCCAATAATAAACAAATAAAATTATTACAGAATTCTTAATTAATTAAAGGGAAGGATGCAAAAGAAAGAAGAGGGTGGCCACAGCCTCTGCCTCGGGATGCGCAGATGATGCATGCTCGGAACTTGGCTCGCCCGAAAAACCCGTACCGTACCCCTGCCACCTTGTTTGTACTACCTTGTCTCTCTTGAAAATTGCCAAAGTCCTGGAGCAAGTTCCTTACACACTGCAGAGCACCACCGGCCAGACAGAATTCCCACCGGCACTCTACAATTTCCATCGGCTGTTCTTGGACTCATCGGCACTTTAATGATTGCCGGTCGGCACTAAATTCTGCCGTCGGCAGAAACTTCCTGCAGAAGACAGTTTTGACAGCAAACAGAGAACAGACAGTGCATGGCATGGGGTTTTCAGGCACATGTGAGCATGGTCATGCTTCCTATCATGTTTTGAACTCAAGGAAGCATGAATCTTCAATCTCGAGTCTCAATGGTGCATGATAGCCCAAGGATCAAACTTGCCACTTGATGTAAGGATGCATGCAACAAACAAAATGAGATCCGAAGCCTTATCATGTCGAAGTCAAAGGCCCCGGGACCGAGAATCAAGGTACATTACATCACTTGAAGTATGAAGTCCCTTGATCCCCACACTTGGTTTGACACCCCAAACCAAGTAATGCAATGCATGTTATGCAAACATGGCTCAAATGCAACATGACACCAATCATGCAAGACATAGCAAATGTTATGCAACTACCATGACAAATATGCAATGCTAAGCATGCAAGGTGCAAAATATGATGCAAACATGGACCAATTTGACAATGGATTAATATACTACAAGGCTTAATGAAGTAACCATGCAACAAACATGAAACAAGCATGCAATGGGGCCTAGAACCATAAAGGGGCAGACCTTAAACCACCCCAAAACAGCGGCCAAAAGTGCCTAAAAGGGTAACAAAAAAAAACTATGCCAACAAGCAATCCAATGGTCCCAAGGCTAAGGCATAAAAAGGCATTTCACCCCCACCAACATGACTACTCATGCATGACTAAGACAAGTAAAGACAGACCTTTTACATGCAAAATGGGACTCCAAAGCCTCCTAACATGGCAGCGCTAAAATGACTCCAAAGGAGTGTATGCACCAAGGCTCAAATGTATGCATAAAAGGGCACACCTCAAGACACAAAAGAGATCATAAATGCAAGCATGCAAACATGATTTAGGGACTGAAATAGCATGGCAAACAACTTCAACTCATTAAAGTGGACCAACTAAGGCATGCTTGTGATTCATATACTTGAGGGCTCACAAGCCAAAATGCATAGCAACCATATCAAACATGTCAAACATGACCAAATGGATAACCAACAGACTTAAGCATGGAAAAATAGTGCTAACATCTTCATGGAACCAAGCCAACACATGCAAAAATCATGGCTAAAGACAAGGGACATTTCTAGGCCAAATGGAGCAATACCAAGCAAGTACTACAAGCATACACAGAGCACAAATCCGGCCAAAAACAAGGGTTATATATGACCTAAAAAACACCAAAAAAACTTCTGAAATAAGGCTCAAGATGATCAAACATACATGCTACCTTTTTAGGCCAAAATGTAAGGAAAACAAAACAATGAAGGGAGAGGGGGTGCCTCTCCTTCTATGCAAGACTTCAAACCACCTTTTTTAATACTGAAAATCAACTGGTTTAGTGATGAAAAGAACCAACACACTCAAGCAAACAAGGCCTCTCAAAAGAGGCACAAAAGAGGCCAAATAAAGCCTAATGAGGTGAGTTAGCACCAAACCACAAAATAACCTTAATGAAAGTTCTAAAGCATGAGAATACAAGCCTTTTTTATGTTATACACAAAAGCTAAATCAACAAGCAAGATAGGTAAAAGACTATTGCAAGTTTGGAGAATATAAAGCAAGATGCTCACCCTTGAAGAACCCTTGAAGAACAAATGCTAGCTCCTCTTTTTGATCAAAATCAGTCCAAAAACTCAAGAATCAACCCCCCAAGTTCCTCAATCTCGGATAAGGTGTAATAGTGTGTGTAATGGTGCAAAAGTAAGGTAAAATCCACCTTTAGGCCAAGGAAACACACACAAAGGAGGAGAGAGAGGGAGATATAGAGATAGAATGTATCTATATCTCTAAGCTCTGGTTTTGCTTCTAACTTTCTAACCTAGATCAAAGAGGGAAAGCCCTTCTCTCCATACACGTGTATGGAGGGGAAAGGAGTTGGTGCCAGCTATCACAGCTGGCACAAAATATCTCCATAAAGTAGATGAACAGTGGTCGGCTGCCCAAAAATGTCATTTTGACAAAAAAAAGTGCCGACCGCCAACAAACTATGCCACCGGCAATAAAATGTGCCGACCGGCAACAAATAGTGCCGATGGCAGAAAAAAACCAGCCGATGGCCTCTAGCCACTGCCGATGGTGTGTGGGGATGCCTTACAAGGTCTTCCCTCCCCCTCCAAGGCAAAACATAAGTGTTCGGTGTGAAACCAGACACTAAACGGTCAAGTTCGGAGATCCTGAGGCAGGGCGCGCGAGCCGAGACTTCCGGGAACTCCAAACGAACACAACCATGGATAATCACCGAGTGTTCAAACGGTGACGTCCAAGTCTTGAGGACGGTCAAAAATGGGGTGTCTACAATAAGCAAGAGGGCTCCTTCTTTGCCAGAGGTTCTGAGTTTTGAAAAGGCAAAACCTTTCTTTCTCTCTATATTGCTTGTGTTTAATGCTTTGAAGTTGGATTTCCTTGCACTTTTACACTATAACACCTGGATATACATCACCACCATTGAACCAAGCTTCTTGGGAGGTCTTCTTGAGGTCTGAAAGCAAGCTTCCACCCCCTGAAATTGCTGGTTTCGAAGAGGGTCTTCAAGGGTGAGCATTTCCTCTATTTTTGCACTTTCTTGCACCTTGCTTTAGCCCTCTTTGCATATTGATTTAGGCTTTTCTTATAACTGAAAAAGTCTTTTTTTTAAGTGCTTTTTAAGTTTGGTTAAGGTCATTTTGCTGTTTGGGGTGTGTAGCCCCCTTGCATGCTTTGTTTGGCTTGGTTTTAAGACATATCTTGAGGCCTTCGAGCTAGCCTTGGTTTGGCCTTCCTACCACTGAAATCTAGTGGGATTTTGGTGGTAGAGGTGTGGTTTTGAGGTCCTAAATCAGAGGAGGTAGTCCCCTCTCTTTGTGTTCCTCTTTACTTGCATTTTTGGCCTTCCAAAGGACCATCCCTCTATGCATTTTTGAGGCATGGTCCAGGCCTTTTTTTGTGACTTCTAGGACCTTCCTTGGCCCTGTCCAAGGCTGGTTTGGTCATATCTTGCTTGCATATAGTATGTGTAGTGTAACTCCATCCATAGCTCATCAAAGTAGCATGTGTGCTTGGCTTTTGTTGAGTCCATTTCAGTCCATTTTTGGTGATTTTTTACCATGCCATGAACGTGTTTTAGGTTGGTTTTGTTACCCCATGCTTGCATGATGCACTTGTAGTGTAAATCTCCTAAACTAGCTTCATATGCTCCATGCCATGCCATGTCATTTTAGCTTGTTTGGTTTACATTCCAACATGTATTTGGTCATCATTTGGCATGCCATGACCATATCCATAGTTGGTTTAATCATCCTTCGCATGCTCCATATAGGTGTAGAACAAATCATGTTTACTAGCCATTTGTGCATGATGTTTTGACTCATCATACTAGCATATTTTGGCTTTGCTCAAACTTGATTTTATGCTTATTTTGAAGTGTTGTAGGACTCTTTTGGACTGCCATGGCCATATCACTCATGCTTTGTATAGCTATAGTGTAAATGTTTAGGCTAGTTTTGGGTTTTGAGGCCCCTACCATGCCATACATGTGATGTTTGCATGCCTTGCCATCATTCCACATGCTATTTTAGTCCATAAAATGTTGTCATACACTTGCATTTGACATTCCTTGAATGCTTTATAGAGCTTGTGCTTTATGCCTCAAGAATGAGCTTTTGTGCATGCCATTAAGCCTAAGCATTTGGCTCATCATTTCAGCGCATTTTGGGTCCTATTATACCATGATGTAACTCTGCTTTATGTCGCCCGAGTCATGCCATGTTTGGTTTCAATAGGTGTAGTGCATTGCCTCTTTAAAGCCTTGCATGCTCCATATTTTTGGCTTTGTGTTCTAGCCTTTGTTGGCTAGCTTTGAGCTTAGTTTTGGTCTTGTTTGGACCTACCCTAGGACTGTTTTAGGTCCCCTCGGCTCCTTGGGGCTTGCCTTGTATGGCCGTGGCTTAAGTCCCTTTGCTTACCTTGAGCTTTGAGCATCATGACATGCTATGCTTGCATGGTTGATTTGATTTGGCATCACTTTACATGAAATTTCAGAGCTTACCTCATTGTCATACATCCGTGTTTGTTGCTCCTTGAGTGTGCTTAAGAGTTGTCCTCTTTGTGCCTTAATACTTGAGCCACTTGGCATACATTCCATTTCATGCTTTTCATGCCATCAATCCATCACTTATGGCTACTGATTTGGACCTAGTTGAGAGCCGTCCATCTGTGGTGTAAGCCCATCTTACCATGTTGTCGCATGCTTGTTTCATTTCGTATGTTGTCGCATACTTGTTTAGCTTTGCATACCTTGCATGCTCACATGTTCATGTTGCATTTTGTCATGTTGTCCAAGGTCATCACCTCACATCATGCTTACATGCATGTTGCATGCTTGGTTTAGTTGCATGTTTGCACATTTAGGTCATGTTGCATGTTTGCCATGCTTATTTGTTGCATTGCTTGGATTAAGTGTTAATCCGAGCACGAGGAACGAGGGGCGTTTCATACTTCAAGTGATGGAACGTGTTTCAATTCTCGGTCGCTGAAGCTCTTGATGTTTCATGATAGAGTTCTAGGCTTTACTTGTTTTATTTGTGTATTCATTTTTATATTGATTGGCACAAGTTGGATCTTTGGCCATCATACATCCGGATACGTGATTGATGGTCGTGGATCCGACTAGGCCTCTCCATTAATGTTTTGAGGTGATTTGGAGTGCCATGGTGCGTACATGTCCTTGGGAAACCCTCCATTTTCTCTATTTTGTGCTTCGTTGCAGTTTGGTGTCACAGCACACCAGTGGCCGGCAGTGCACCACTGATGGCCGGCAGTGTCACACCCTTGGTTGGCAGTGCCCTGTTGTTGGCCGACAGTGATCCTTCCATGGCCGGCAAGCCATTGGTGACTACCCCTGCAGTGTTTTGGTAAGGACCAGCAACAAGCGCTGGAAGACACCCTGCAAACAGAGCCTCTAAAGAGCAACCGGAAGGCGTTTCGAGGCAAGGAACCAAAGCGAGCATGCATACCCTCCTCTTCTTCAAACAGAGCTGGAGCAATTCTCTTTTACTGCTTACTAGTTAGTTAGCATTTGTTATTTGTAATAATTAATTTGTTAATTAATTAAGTTGTGTAATAATTAGTTGTAGCTAGTTATTCATTTGGTTTTGTAATAATTAAGTAGCTTGTTAGCTAGTTAATTAGGTGGCTTGTATTATTTATTCGGTCCCTCCGAGTGAGGGTAAATTTGTAATAAGTGTGGGTGTGTGTGTGCATGTCTTCCAACCCCATTTCTTTCTCCCTTTTATTTAACCGCTTATAATGGTTAGATTTTGGGCATATTTCAATTAGCATACCTTATGCTATGCATGCGTGCATTCATTCATCTGTATTGCATGCACCGGACTCGACACATCATACTAACTGCATAGTATTTCAAATCTAACTTGAATACGTGTTATCTGTTGCATTTCACATGCCGTCCTAGGATTAGCCGAGCCTATTCTAGACTGCATTTTGTATGCGATATATTAGGCACTTAACATGCACTTGGATCATGCATGATTGCTAACGAGTTCTCTGTTTTGGCGCGGAGTACGATGTAAGTATTTATGCTTTAACATCTCGCATGAGTGTGATTGTTAACATGATAGCATGCTTACCATGCGGCTATGTGCTTGATATAACTGCCTGAATGCCTGTGGGTGAAGGTTGGATTACTTGAATTGAGATAATTCATTGAAATCCGCATTTTAGCCTACTTACGAGTAGCAAACTTCAAACATTTCCAAACAAACGGATATGCAATGTTTTGTTCCAAATTAGGCGATCTAGTCTATACTTGTTTTGCTGTGCGCATCACATAGTAATTCTAACTAAATAACCGAAACAAGAACGCATAATGTTTTTAAAACTCGATATTGTGGTTAGTAGAGGCCGATCTTTGATCGGGCGAGCGGGGGTGCTCACGAAGTGACCTTCCCCAATCGTACCCAAGTTCCCGAGCCGAGGCAACTTTGGTGATGACGGACACGTGGCCTTAGGCACGAGTCAGGGTTTCCTAAATTTTCCAAAATAAAATATTTAGGTGGCGACTCTGTATCTGGTGAAGCAGTCCATGTTTGGCACTTCTTTCTAAAAATCAATTTTTCAAAACGATTTGCCAGATTTGGACTCTTTGATGATTCATTGGTCTTGCATTGCACTCTGCGAGATTAGATACAGGACCGTGACATTGAGTCTTGAACTGTAGTGAGCCCAAATAACAAAATGGGATTTCCCTCTCGGGGCGTTCGGGGACGTCTACACAAGGGTTGTAAACCTTCACTGAAGTATCTCAGTTTTAATAATAATGGTCTTTCAGTGAGGCTTATTTAATGGTGGATCCTAGTCCTCAGAATAATATGCAATAAGGTGTTCCTACAATCAACATAAAACAAACACCCATAGACTATTAACATTTCAATACTACCATCCTTAACCCAAATCGGTTCTAACATTTCAATACTGCCATAGTTGAACCAGAGACACTCCGTTTATATATTAAGACCAACATTACCTTCAGTGTGGAACTTTCAGATGATTCAGCAAGCAATGCTTGCATCAACTCTTCCTTCTCCAATGCTAACTGCAAACACAATGTCTAGAACTCGATAATTCTAAAAGTATACTCAATAATATTACTTCAATTATTTCATCAGGAAATTAAAAATATCAAATATGAAAAAGGGAAAAATATAGATATCAGAACCTTACAAACATGAAATAAAAAAGGTTCATCCTGCAAGAAACAAGTGAACTGAAATCCATATAAAGATGGAACACATGCTACCTCGGAAATTAATGTGTTAATGTTTTGAATCGTTTTCATTTGATCAACTGGAATATTTAAAGATGAGACTTCAAGATTGAACTGTCTATTTTCAGGGAGCAACGAGGAACTGGGGGCTTCACTTCTGAGAAAAGGTGCAGTACTGTGCATTTCCTGGTTTGAGGTGTCCGCTGTAGCATCTGCATCATCCTCATGGACTAAATTAACAATAAACACAACCAAAAAAGTGATCAAATTCATAGAATGAAAACAAATGTTAAAGCACGATCAATATCCAATAATCACTAGTAATGATACAAATCCATCCATGGCTCGTATGGGAGGCAGAGCATGTACACTCAAGGGTATTCAATAGAATACCCTGATGTTTTTTTTTTTTTTTTTTTTTTGAGGTTTCATATATGTTTATCAGTAATGAATCAAGATTTTGAATACCCAATTCTTAGATCTTGAACACCTAATTTGTTGATTCCAATTTTTGCACACCCAACTCACATTCCACTTGAGTAATATTCAAGATCAAAAATCAATCCTCAAACAAAAAAGAAAAAGCCTAATACTATAGAAACCAAACATAAACTCGAACACAAAAAATGTATGAATAGAAAAGATTTTTCAAAAGTGCACCAATCAATCTTGTAAAATCTCATCCATTCATACATTTTGTGTTCAGTTCTATGTTTGATATCTGTGTTCCTATTTATTTTTCAAATAAAATAAAGGTACCAAACAAATAGCTCTCTTAGTAAATATAGCTTATGTCAAATTAGGACATAAAATTTGTAAAGAATTGATTGCGTAACGAAATGGGATATTAATGAAAAAATGATTGTTTAGTTACTTACATTGAAAATAATTTATTCAATAGTATTTTGCTTGTGATTTGAGAAGTTCAAATTGGAAGATTTATTAGTAGTGGGAAATAACCACTGATAAGTGTATTCTTTTTATACAAATTCTAATTTAAGTTCAAGTTTTTGAATACCCTAACCAAATTTTCTGGAGCCACCACTGATGGCTCATCTGTCCGTAATTGAATCTTATACTTAAAGAACTTAAAGAATAAAATAGTCCATTAACATCTAGCATGACAGATATATAATCACAATGCCAATTGCAATCATCAAAAAATAATTCTTGGTTTCGAAACTATGCTGTAAGAGCATTGAAACAATCCTTGGTTACAAACTCGCTCTGACACATGCGATTCTCTTGGCATCAAAATAAAAGTAGGTTCCACTTAAGCTTTAAGCTTCAATTATGCCACAATCTAATAAAATTCATACACCAACACTATGTATATATAAGGCCAACGAATAAAAATAAATAGATATACTCAAAATAACTCATGAACAGATTTAAACTCCTAAATAACTCAAACTCCCAATTATTGCTGCCTTATCGATCTTCATCAATTCTTCCCACTAAGAAGAACTCCCATATGGAGAATAAAGAGAATGATAGTACTCAAATTATTCAGAATTAAAGTACCAAAGATTGTCCTTAACAATCGGAGTGGCAATAGTGATGACGCCAGAGCATATTATTCATATATTTCAAATCGATAATGAACCCAACACCATTCCAATTAGAAAAACTTCAATCACTTCCGATTCCTTTGAAACCAAAAATAAAAAAATAAACTAAAATAAAATAAACTTGAATAATAATTTGAATTTTTTTTTTAAAAAAAAGACCCCACTCAGAACACCCTAAACTCCTTGACATAAATTTACACCAAATTGAATTTTACTCCAATATTTACCAAATCAAGAAATTCTCAAATCTATATTCAAAATTAAATTCTAAACTAAGGTCTCAAATTTTCCACTCTGCCATTAGTTTTTACAATACAGATTCAAATAGCTCCCTTCTTTTTATGATTGAAAATAAAGAGCAAATCCCAAGTAATATTGCAATTCTAACAGCATATATATATATATATATAACTGTATACACAAAGAAGAGAGAGAGAGAGAAAGAGATCTAATAAAAACTTACAGATTTGAGAAGCCAAATCTCAAATAGGTTTCATGTAGATTAATCGACCAATTGATGAACGATGAGATCTAATAAAAACAGAAAATCAGAAGTGAGGAGCCAGATCTGAGTTAGAATGTAAAAAATCTATTAAAAATAAAAAACATAAACAAATTGAAACTCACAAAATCGAAAGAGACAACTGCAAATCTGGAGAATCAACCTTCGAATCTTCAAGAATCAACCTTCGAATCTGATGAAGAGATGAGTACAGAGAGTGAGAGAGAGAATTCGAGGGAGAGCGAAAGTGAGAGAAACTACAAATCTGGAGAATCAACCTTCGAATCTTCAAGAATCAACCTTCAAATCTTCGACAAACTTCATAGATCTGATGAAGAGATGAGTACAGAGAGTGAGAGTGAGACTGAGAGAAAGAGAATTCGAGCAAGAGCGACAGTGAGACTAAGACAGAGAATGAGAGCGAGAGCGAGAGTGAGAGACAACTGCAAATCTGGAGAATCAACCTTCGAATCTTCAAGAATCAACCTTCAAATCTTCGACAAACTTCATGGATCTGATGAAGAGATGAGTACAGAGAGTGAGAATGAGACCGAGAGTGAGAGAGAATTTGAGCGAGAGCGAAAGTGAGACTGAGACTGAGAGAGACTTCGAGCGAGGGTGAGAGTGAGAGTGAGAGTGAGAGTGAATTCGAGCAAGAGTGAAAAGGAGGGAGAGAGTAAGATAGGATATGTAACGGCGTCAGGTATGCACCCACAATAGCACTGTTTTGAAATTTAATTAGCACAGCATTGTAGTTTTTAAGTTTTAATTGATCAATGATGGCATTTTAATAAAAATGCTATAAAAAAAAACGTTGCCGTAGCCTGTTTTTGTTGTAATGAAAGTTACTAAAATAACCTGTTCCCAAATGAGACTTTCTCCCCCTCTCTCCTAAGACACACACACACACACAAGCTCCAAGACACACACACACACACACAAGCTCCGTTGATCAGTATTTTCTTTTGGGCATCACTACCTGGAGCTCAGGCTGATATACCATACTCTCCCATCAATGTTCACAACCGAAAAACAATATACAATGTCATAAATATATTTCTCTCTCTCGGCAAGTGGCCAATCGAAAAACAATATACAATCTCAGAAATATATTTCTCTCTCTCGGCAAGTGGCAAAAAAAAAAAAAAAAAAAGTAAGACCACCCACCAAAGGGTGACTAAGGACCTGATTAACAGTGTTTTGAATTTTTTTTGAAGGAGCCTTTTCTCATCTCTTGGGATGGCTGACAACACATGAGCTGAGATATACAGGTACAATAGGCATGTGTTTCAATGGGGAGGCACCACCAGTTTTGCATTTTGTATCTGTGTGTTTTGGTGAGGTTTGAACTGAAGAAGCAAAGCGTGGGAGCTGATTGCAGCGACCACCATCACCTCTTCTCTGCAATTTACATACCACGTGAGAGCCAGCCGCAGCACTGTCTTGTGCGCGCGACTACTCAGCTGGCCTGACCTGCACGCTTCACATCCGACCCTTGCGATATTGACGCTGCTTCTGGCCATGATTGGCCAACGCCGACCACGCACACTCAGAGTGATGTTGGCTTGCCCAGGACTCTTCGCACCCGCCGCTTGTATGCATTGCTCGTGCCGCAGCTCAAGGAAACTGCTACAACTACACAGCTTGTTAACCTGCCATTAATGTTTTGAAAGAGATTCAAGTGTTTCTGGAAGCAAACCCTTCTGAAATCGTCACCATAATGATCGAAGACTATGTTGCATTTTCAAAGGGCTCTCTGTTTGGAGATGGAGAACGAGACCAAGGCTGCTGCAGTTAGCTCCGCCACCAGAGACGAAGCGAAGCTTCTCAGTGACACCGTCCCTACATTACCGCCGCTCGCTGTGAAGGACTTGTTGTCTCTGGTTACATACATGCAGAGTTTGTCGAAGCCATTACTCGTCCTCACAATTGCAACAGTTTTCTCTGATCAATCAGTGTGTACAACAGAAAAAGTGGATAGTTCACATGATTCTCAAGCATATTCTGAATCACAACAGGAGACACCTTCATGATTGCCAACTTCAGACTCAAGGTCTTAATATGAAGTCTCTGAAAATTGGTTGCAACATTCCATAAAGAGCTTAAGAAGCTGGGTATTACTTTACCAGAAAGGCTTAATGATGATGAGCTTCATAGATTTTACATTGCTGTTTTGGTGTAGTCTTCAAGTTCCCAAGATAGCTTGGTTAGTAGTTGAGCTGCATGATGTTGGTGAAAAGGAGTGGAATACGCCAGTGGACTACTGAGTTGGGTTATTCATGGCCACATTTGTTTATTTTATTTTGAGTGTGTTGTGAGGTTTTTATTTTATTTTCTTATCTCCTTCTCTCTCTCATTTGGATATGTAATATTCAAGGTATTGTAATAATTCCTCCACCCCACTTCTTTCTATCCCATTCTTTAATTGCTTTCTCTAATTGTACATATGTATATATCTGACATGCCATGCCTATCCATGCTTTGCATCAATGTTTCATGCATTAAGATTCGGCTAAATTTGCATTTGTGAATTTAATCAATTCTTATGTGATTATGTGCACTACCCCATGTTCTTGAGATGATTTACATGTCATATCTTAGAAGCCGAATCTTTAGTCGCATCTCATGAGTGAATTGCATTAGGATTTTGTATATAAGATCATGAATTGTTTCAATTTGAGCAAATTAGTCTATACTTGTATGTTTCACATAATAAATTTTGAGGATTTATTAAATAATCAGAACATGAACATGTAAAGAAAATAAAAGTCATATCATGGTTTAGTAGAGGTCGATCTTTTGATCGGGTGAGCGGAGGTGCTCATTATTGACCTTCTCCCTTCATACCTAAGGTTTCGAGCCAAGCACCCTTAGTTACGACGAACAGTGGTCTTGGCATGAGTCATGGGTTTCTTAATTTTCCACAAATATTAGGTGGCGACTCTAAGACCTGATGAGGCAGTCCATTTCTAGCAAAAAGTTTTGCAATAAAATGGATTTTCTAAAAGTTGTCAAATCTGGACTCTCATCTATGTTTCATATTGCACTAGTGAGACTAGATCAAAGAGACTGAGGGTTCGAACTGTTTAACGTACGCGGGTCCCCCCGGGCATGTTATAGCTGAAATCCTTCCATTTCTCTCTCTAGACACTTTCTCTCTCTAGATCCAAGCTTTTTACACGTTTTCCAATGCCCCATGCAAACTTTATTTGCTAAACCCTTTTAGTTCTTTTCACTTTGAACCGATTGGAATTTGATTTCAACGTTTTTTTCTTCATTTTCACCCTTCTAGGCTTGTTCCTCTCGAGTTTCTCTTGGGTTTGGTGAACTTTTCCCGACTTTGAATTTTTCTTCCATTTTCTCTCTCCTAGGGTTGAATTTTTCCAAGTTTACCATTTTTTCTCTATTTTTCTTCATTTTTCACCTATTTTCCACCAATTTTCCACATGGCGGATGATTTACCACATGACGGGGCCCCTCCAGAGGTTCCCCCCACATTTTCACTTGTTCCCGAGGCGGATGAGCCAGCTGTTGCCGAGGTGGCTGGGGATATTAAGGCTGACCTCGAGGCTGAGTTCGAGCCAGAGCTACTACCAGTGAGAGTACGACCATTTGATTCGAAGTGGTATCATCCTCGCACACATATCTTGCCAGCCGGTGGCATCAGACACTTCTGCGACTTCATTCTCGGCGTACCGGAGGATCTCCTACTGAGGGAGCCGACTTCTCACCTTTCATCCGTTGTAGTTGAGGTATAAGCTCTGTTTTCATGCATTCCTGTCTGTCTTTACTTGAATTTCTTACACTACCTTTTATCTGACTGTACTTTCATCACTGCCATATCTGATGCATCTATTCTTTGCCATATGGAGAGTCTCGTGCCTTCTGAGGATATGAAGCCATGACCGTACGAGACTGGTATGACGAGCTCCCCGCAAGAGTTCGCGACATTGTAGATGAGACTAGCTTTGGCCTATTCTACTCCAGCTTGACGCGGGTTATCGTGAGCCGTCCTCTTCTGGGTGCACTTGTGGAAAGGTGGTGGGACACCACCAATTCCTTCAACTTTTCCACTACAGGGGAGATGACGATGACTCCCTACGACTTCACCATGCTCATCGACTTAGATGTAGGGGGTGATCCGATCCCTTTCGACTCAGACACGGGAGAGTGAGATGCGGCCTGGGTTAAGCTGCTGGGAGCCCGTCCACCCATATACCGGGCATGTATGGTCAGATATACCTGGTTCGCCAATCAGTTTAGAGGAAGCAAGCCCAAGATAGTAGAGGAGATTGAGCAGTATGCCAGAGGCTTTTGGATGTTCGTTTTTGGTACCACATTGTTTTTGAACAGGTAGAACACCGTAGGTCTATATCTGTTGAGCGCCCTGGTGACCTTTCCTCGGGTGCACTTCTATGATTGGGGCGGAGCCGGTCTTGCCACCCTATATGGATACATGAGCTCAACCTCCCGTCTGAGAAGAGACTTGATCGGAGGCTAATGGCAAGCCTGGGAGGTATGCATCGCAATTCTCTCTTTGCACTTTATATTTTTTGCTTTACATCTGTTCAACTCCAGTGCTTTCTGCTTTGCACTTTCTGTATCTATTCATATATTGTACTCACATATCATTGCATTTTCTCTGCAGTTACGGGTCTATGTATATTTTCCGACTTTGGCCCTAGAGCCCATAGAGGAGTTCCCTTTGGCAGTCCCTTACTTACGGAGGTATGACGGTCAGTACCAGCAGAGGACCCGCGAGACCTTCATATTTTTTCGGCATTACTTCGACACTATGGTTGCTCATGAGGTAACCCGAAACATAGTCATTTTTGCTTCACACTTATTCTGATTCACATTTAGCAATTGACAGCAACTAATAATCTGTACAACCTCTATTCGCAGATTATGTGGCAGCCATGGGCCATGATGCCAGGTGGGATTCGGGATCAGTATGTCGGGGCCTGGGCCATTTCTCGCTTTCGCATTCTACTCGAGGGCCCAGTCTGCCGGGCCTGGTTCCTGAGCGAGCGGTTTGTGCGTCAGACTGTGGGTCTACCTGACTCGATCATTCCGATGGCGCCATTAGAGTCCATGCGATATGCAAACAACCTATTCATTAATGAGGTCACTCAGTTTATGGTGGGCTTGGATGCTGACTACTTCCGAGTAGAGGGCGACTACGCGACCTTCATCCAGACACACCTCATGCCACCTTTGACCGGTGCTTGTAGAGGTGAGAGAGCGAGAGCTCCTACTGTGAGAGAGGCGTCTAGAGTGACCAAGGCGACTAGGCTAGAGGGGCTTCCTAGGCGAGGCAGAGGATCGATTGGACAGAGTTTTCTACCGCGCTGACATGCTGGCGGCATATCGGCGATGCTTACCAGGTCTCGATTGAGCCTGCCGTGATTGGACACGAGCTTGTCGGGGTTAAAGGTCTGACTAAGGTATAGACCACTCTTTACCACTTGCACCCCACATTCCATTACAGGTATATTCACTGTGAACACTAATCTTCCAAATGCATTTTCAGGCATCCATTGAGTACACAGGGGGCGCTCTTGAATTGATAGCCTCCTTGATGGGTATGATACAGAGGAGGGAGACGCTGCTTGGTCCTCACGGCATCCTGGTAATTT